GAGAAGGGCAGGGCAGCAGCAGGTTCCATGAGCACCGGGGCAGGCAGGGACCCGAGGCCTAGGGTTACAGGGAGGAGAATCAGCCTAGGAGTCTTGGCCCCTCGGTGCTGGTCGGACCCAACCTCTCCTGTCACTCAAGTAGGTCTCATCAGCCCCCAACGTCAGCGAGTCCCCTGCATGTGAAGGCTCAGGTACCTCCCGAGAGAGGGTTCCCTAAACATTCCACGGAATAAGCAATCAGGGCCAAGATGGAGCGGGCCGCTTCCCGCCCTCCTCCACTCACTTCTCCGGCCAGCGTCCGCTTTCTTCAGTGGTCGCTGGAATCTTCCGCACCCTCCTCCCTTCCCTTCCCGCTCCCCGCACCCAGGCCGGGCCACGGGAGGTAAAGCCAGGCCAGCCCGCGCCTCCCCGCCGTGGCCTCCCTCTCCCAGGCCCCGCGCTCGCGTCCACAGCGGAGGCCGCTCCCCCCACCGCCCCGCCCCGGAGCTGCGGCGCCTCCCCTCCCCTCCGCACCTTGTCGAATTAACGTGGCGTCTTCTCGTCTCCTCTGGTCCTCACATGACGATTCTCCAGCCGTCCTTCTTCTCTCCAACCTGCCCAGGAGTACGGGCACTACTAGATACAAAAAGTCCTCGCTTCCCACTTATGGCGATACCGGAATCTGATTCGCCCGGCGTCCTCAGGTTCCCAAGAATTCTCTAAATAGTTTCGAGCCAGGATTGGCCGCGGTAAGTGAGCCAGCCAATGGTGTGGAGCCTTGTTTCTCAGCAGTTGCTAGGTAGAATACACGGAATCAGAAATCTCAGGCAGCAAGTAACTACTGGGTCTTTTTATTTACTTTTTCTTTGTTCGAAAGCAAAGTACTTTTTCTCTCCTCTCTCTCTTTCTCTCTCAAGCCTTGAAATTCCCCGAGGTGTGTCCCCGAGATTGGTGCCTTTGCTGGTATCCACAAGGAGAGGCTTCTGAATGCAGGGAACGATTTCGCTGGGGAGGAAACATGAGGAGGAAAACATAAGCCGTCCTCTTTCCAAAGCCAGATCACTCTTGTTCAAGTTGCTGGGTTTGGAGGTTGGGCCCGGAGCACGGAAGGGCTTGGGGGAAGCAGGCATGGCTGGAGAGGGAGGGGTAGCAAAGGAAAGGAGACAGCAGTTGCACTGGCTGTTAAGAAGGCCTTGTATTCATTCCAGAGCTATTGGATAAGAGGTGCTGAGGACATCGAGTGAGCAGCAAAATCCCTTTTCCTCAGGGAGCTGGCATTCTGGTGGGGCCAGAAGATGGAAGTGAGCAAAGACTTCCTAGTTGGCCATTTCCTTCTGCCAGTAGGTAGTGAGGTTGGGTCCAAGGACCACACACACACACCAGCACACACACAGACACCGGAACACATACCATCCTCCCCAAAAGGTTATCCTTTCCCCACAGACTCCAATCTTGACATTGTAAAGATTATCTTCCAGAATAATCTTTCTGAGGCAACCGGTTGTGAATATTCCCCTCAAGTTACCAAATGCTTAGTCTGGAGGCCTCCAATTCCCTTCCGATTCAATTCCAAACTTTGCATTAATACATTAGCAATGGCTCCACAGCGGCCTTCTGTCACAACGTTGCACTCCCTGTGGCCAGCGCTCCCTTTTTCATGCCACGACTTTCACTTGAATTGTTTGCTCCCTCTCTGCCCTTGAAATCCTGCCCAGCCTTCGTGCCTCCATCCTATGAGCACAACTCAGTGCTCCTGCCTGAAGTGTTCTCAGCCTCTTCTGACACCCACATCTTTTGCTGTTCTCATGTCCTGTCTTCTATTATTGTGATCCAGGTATCAGCTGTGTCTTTGCTGTGGCTAGAGTACCTGCTCCTCCGGACAGACCTCTGCAGCATGTGATTCCTCTCTCCTTATAGGGCTGAGGCCTAAGCTCTGCTCTCAGCTGTTGTGCAGTGAGTGACGTGCTCAGGGTAAGGTCATTCCCACCACAGCATGGCCCAGTTCCTGAAATTATTAGACACTAGAGTGCCAGAGAGAGATGGCAGCAAGATTAAACCACTCCAAGGTAGAAGTTCAAGGACCAGGAAGGAAGAACCAGTAGGTTCCATCTGCAGAGAAAGCTCTTTGATGAGAATAAACTAAAGACATTCCTAAGAACCGCTTTTTTTTTTTTTTTTGAGATGGAGTTTCGCTCTTGTTACCCAGGCTGGAGTGCAATGGCACAATCTCGGCTTACCGCAACCTCCGCCTCCTGGGTTCAGGCAATTCTCCTGCCTCAGCCTCCTGAGTAGCTGGGATTACAGGCATGTGCCACCATGCCCAGCTAATTTTTTTTTTTGTATTTTTAGTAGAGACGGGGTTTCACCATGTTGACCAGGATGGTCTCGATCTCTTGACCTCGTGATCCAGCTGCCTCGGGCTCCCAAAGTGCTGGGATTACAGGAGAACCGCTTTTTCTATTCGACTGACCCTTAAATTGAAACAGCAGCCTCACCCATCACTTGATGCTTCTGCAGTATAATTAAAATTGGATTCTAGGTTGAAGTGGCTAATGAGGATAAAATCATAGTAAGTATTTGATCATTCCAGCCAAGCCTAAGCAGTTCTTTGGAAGAAAAAGAAGAGGAGGTTGTAAGGATTTAAAAGCTTGGCTGATCAGGCTGAGATCTGGCTTCAGATTTTTTTATCTGAAGAACTAAAGCCCAGGGCTTCTGAAGCAGCTTGTTCCAGAAGTATCTAGCTAAGCTAAGTTTCACCCTTTGCCAAAGCTGACCTGCACCAGAGGGAAACATAAGTGTTATGGGCAGGAATAGAATTGATTGCTTATCAGGTAGCTTAGCAAGAAACCACATGATATGGTTTGGCTGTGTCTCCAGCCAAATATCATCTTGAATTGTAGTTCCGATAATCCCCATGTATTGCAGAAGGGACCTAGTGGGAGGTAATTGAATCATGGGGGCAGTTACCTCCATGCTGTTCTCATAATAGTCAGTTATCATGACATCTGATGGTTTTATAAGGGACATTTCCCCCCCTTTTGCTCAGCACTTCTTCCTGCCATCACGTGAAGAAGAACGTGTTTGCTTCCACTTCTGCCATGATTGTAAGTTTCCTGAGTCCTCCCCAGTCATGGTACCATGAGTCAATTATACCTCTTTCCTTTATAAATTACCCAGTCTAAGGCAGTCCTTCATAGTAGCATGAGAACAGACTAGTACAGTATATTGGTACCGGTAGAGTGGGGTGCTGCTATAAGGATACCCCAAGATGTGGAAGTGACTTTGGAACTGGGTAACAGGCAGAGGTTGGAACAGTCTGGAGGGCTCAGAAGAAGACAGGAAAATGTGAGAAAGTTTGGAACTTCCTAAAGACTTGTTGATGACTTTGATCAAATGTTGATAGTGATATGGACAATGAAGTCTAGGCTGAGGTAGTCTCAGATAGAGATGATGAACTTGTTGGGAACTGGAGTAAAGGTCACTCTTGCTATGCAAAAAAGACTGGTGACATTTTGTCCCTGCCCTAGAGATCTGTGGAACTTTGAGCTCCAGTGAGATGATTTAGGGTATCTGGTGGAAGAAATTTCTAAGTGGCAAATATTGTCACTACTCCCCTCAAATGTCTATGGACCTTAAGATATGGTGATTATTCTAGGTGGACTTAATCTTATCACAGGAGTTCTCAAAAGTAGAAGGCAAAAGAATCAGAGAGATGCAATGGAAAAAGAACCAGAAAAACTTCAAAGATTGACAGGTCCTCAGTGCACAGTTGCTGCTTTGCAGATGCAAGAAGGGAGATGGGAGCTAAAGCACAGCAGCCTCTAGAGATGGGAACAGCCTTGAGCTGTAACCAGCAAGCAACTGGGACCTCTGTCTTCTAATTGCAAGGAACTGAATTCTGCCAGCAATCTGAAAAAAAAACAAAACATACTGTTCTCTAGAGTCTCTAGAAAAGAATCCAGCACGCAGACACCTTGATCTTAGCCTGGTGAGATCCCTATTGGACTTCTGACCTATAGAACTGTGAACCAAAAATTTGTATTACTTTAAGTCTAAAAATTTGTGGTGATTCATCGTGACAGCAGAAGAAAATACATCCAATAAAGGTTTTGTGAAGACACTGCAGTGAGGTAAACTGACACTATGGGGAGTACAGTAGGTGTGTGGACTACTCTACTGTGCTGAGTAAACACCAGAATCTAGAAAAAGCCAAGCTGAAGAGTAAGCATTATTCACAAATTTATTGAAAACTAGAACTTGACAAGCACATGCCAGGTAGAGGGGATACGGTGGGGAGCAATGAGCAATAACAGTGATGATAATGAGGAGTAGTTTTCTCTAGCAGGCAGCAGTTGAAAGAAATATTGGTTTAACATTCACCAATGAGCAGGGATGGACAGACCCCTTTTCTGGAGACAGAATCCATAGCAGGATTTAAAATATCCCCGTAGGCCAGTGCAGTGGCTCACGCCTGTGGTCCCAGAACTTTGGGAGTTTGAGGCAGGCGAATCACAAGGTCAAAAGATAGAGACCATCCTTGTCAACACGGTGAACCCTCAGCTCTATTAAAAGTACAAATATCGGCCGGGCGCAGTGGCTCACGCCTGTAATCCCAGCACTTTGGGAGGCCGAGGCAGGTGGATCACGAGGTCAAGAGATCAAGACCATCCTGGTCAATATGGTGAAACCCCATCTCTACTAAAAATACAAAAAGTTAGCTGGGCATGGTGGCTCGTGCCTGTAATCCCAGCTACTCAGGAGGCTGAGGCAGGAGAATTGCCTGAACCCGGGAGGCAGAGGTTGCGATGAGCCGAGATCGCGCCATTGCACTCCAGCCTGGGTAACAAGAGCGAAACTCCGTCTCAAAAAAAAAAAAAAAAGTACAAATATCAACTGGGCATGGTGGCTTGTGCCTGTCGTCCCAGCTACACGGGAGGTTGAAGCAGGAGAGTCACTTGAACCCGCGAGGCAGAAGTTGCAGTGAGCTGAGATCGCGACACCGCACTTAAGACTGGCAACAGAGTGAGAGAGACTCTTGTCTATCATCATCATCATAATCATCATCATCATCCCTGTAATTCTAGCTTCCTTGATCCAAACTTCCTGCATCACAGAGAATCTTTATGGTATTTGCTCTGCCTGGAAACCCTGGGTACAGGAATGCTGGCTCTGGCTGCATGATCACTCAGCACAGTTGTTGGGTGGGCACATCTGTGCACCATTATTTACTCAGTGTGGCCTTGAGTCTCCTTCCAAGTCACGTGTCATGTGGGTACCGTGAGGTTATTCTCTCAACCAAGACACTTGGCAGAGCTAATCCAAGGAGTGCTGGGTCTAAGGCTCTGACCATCAGCTGGGAAGGAGTCAACAGGGGTGTCAACCCCACAACCACCTACAATGATCCCTACCCTGGAGCTGTCCTGGGAAGGGAACCTCAGGGCTACAGGTGGGTTCTGCCCATGGGGGAAGAATCAGGCTGGAAAAGAATGGCCAAATGGCCAGGAACTGAGGCTGAACATCTCCCAACTGCACAAATTACCATATGAGTTACGTAAGTTACTTAATGTCACCCTGCCTCAGCTTCCATACTCACAAAGTGAGACAACCTGACAGGGTACTGTGAGGATTAAAGGAGTGACACCCACCAAAGCTCATAACACAGCACTCAGAATGTTTAAAATTCTCTACTAATGTTAGTCATTGATGAACAGATCCCAGCTCTGTTGTTCACTAGTCATGTCTACTCTGTAAAGCTAATTCACTTTTCTGCACCCCATTTCCTTATCTGTATAAGGGGACAATAAGTTGGTACCAAACCCAAACTACTATCATATGAATAGTTCAATGAGTATCAGTAAGGTACTTCAGTGTGTGTCTGCAGTCTTATGGTTCTGCTTAGTTGCTGTGGAGGGGGAGGCTGTCACCTCCAGGCTGGGCAGGGTGAAGCAGGGATGTTTCTTCAGCCTGAGGCTCCCCACTTTGGTTAGCTAAGCTGGGGGCCACTGGTGTCTCTAGAGGATGATCAGGTGCAATTAGGTCGGGATACGGGGAACTCTCTACTTTTGGCGCTGGGCAAATGGTCAGGGCAGTGGGCTCCAAGGTCAAAATTCTGAAAACAGGATACAGAGGCTCAGAGAAGGAGACGTCCAGGAAAGTGTGAATATGCGATCCATCCACGGCATTGTAGAATGAGACATCTCCAGTCTCACAATCCAGGAAGACCCCCACTTTCGTAGGGCGCTCACGAAGTGTCAGGTTGGTTCTGGGCTCAGTCAGAGTCCGATACTTATTCCCATCAGTTAGTCCCATAGTCCAGAATCCGTTCTCAGGTGTCATTTTGACCCAACCTTTTCTCTGCACGTTCCTACTACACACACCTATATGCCACTCTTTCCGGTCCCCCACCTCCACCTCCCAGTAATGTCTCCCTGACATGAAGCTTCCACAGCCGAGAACACAAAAATGCCAATCAAATCTCTCGGGGTTGTCTGGAAGATCCTGGCGCTCCTCAGCACGCTGCACACTCCTCTGGTCCTCAGAAACAAGGAGGATGGGGTTTGCCGTGTCTGGATCCAGAATCACATCCGCTGCAGAGTTTGAGGAAGTGTCCATGGGGTCAGCCATTTTTCCTGGATTTCAGAGCCTCAGCATGCAAGGCCTGGGCCATGCTGAGGAGGCCTGAGTCCAGAGCCTGGCATTCCTAGCCTGCCCTAAATGAGACTTTCTCATCGATGTCATGAGAGAGAAGGACCCAGGGGTCTGTGTTCAGAGGGGAAGAGGAGGGTGGAATGACAGTTCCATCAGTACCTGCCTAACCCAACACCCTGACGTAGCCTCAGGAAGCAACAAGTCTCTTCTTTCTATGCTTTTCTTGTTTCCCTCCCCAAATTAACTCTGCCCACGAATGCTTTGTACTCAGAGGTTAATTTTCAGTCTTCCCTCTACCACGTATGAGCTAAATGAGTTCCCCTTTTCTGCAGTCTATTTTTCCATACATCCAATTTATTTAACAAGGCGGAGCCTCATCTGAAGCATTTCCTCATCCGAAAAATGAGGATAAAAATACGAATCTCTAGCATTGTACAAGGTAATCATGTTACTTACTCAGCCCACAGCAGAGCATGAAGGACGTTCCTGAAGTTCTAGTAGCTGCAAGGCCGGGTCTGTGCTGGGCTCTATGCAGGGCTTATATGCCCCAGGTTCACTCTCCACCCTGCAGCTTTCCCCACCCTCTTCTGGGCCCCAAGAATCTGTCCTCTAAGGACAGCGCCACTGGGCTCCCTTGTCCTCTGGTTTGCTGTTGGGTTTGGCCAATGAGAGGCCCTGATAGACGACTGGAAGGAGAGGAGAGACTCACTGTTTATTTCCCTGCTTCCTCCCTGCCAGCAGCAGCTGCTGCTGCTCTAACAAGGCCCGCTCTTCTCAGGAAGCCCTCTCTTTGAGCTACCTCTTTCTCTGGGTTCCAGTCACTGCTTCTCCTCCCTGTCGCTCTCAGGCTGGGGGTGGAGACAGCTCCCCACTCTTGGGAACCATGGGGGCACTGCACTCTTCCTTGTTGCCTTCCCTTAACCCTCCTTTCCAAAACCTTCAACCACCGGGTTTGAACTCGCCATCTCTTTCTTAGTAGGTTTCTGACCAATGCATGTTTATTATTCCTTCAGTCTTCACCTCAACCCCCTCAAAACACGGATTGCAATCATCATCTAATAATGTGGAGGCCGAAGCTCAGACGCCTTAAATCCTTCGAGAAGACACAGGCCGCAGGTGGTGTGAGAAGCCAGAGAAGGACAAAGTTCTTAGGGCCGGCATGGCCTCCTCTGCTTGCATTTCCACCCTCACTCTCCCTGCAGTATTACTCAGTGTGTGTCTCCCTCCGCTCAGCTCCACCCTTTATGTGTCTTCCTTCCCAGGAAGGTCTGAGGAAGCCCAAGAGAGCAATTCTCCCTGGTTCCCTGGCTCTCAGCAGCAAGGGCCTTGGTTAAGGGCCCCCTTTTCAGATTGGGATTTAATGTTGCCTACCTCAAACTCTCCTAGTCAAGGGAAATTTTCTTCTCCAAATCACAAGAGTTGGAGGAGGAAAAAGGAATACGTTCCCTCAGGTTGTTGGTCCAGGGAACATACAGTGATTGACTCACCAGGCTTGAAGAGGGCCATTTTCCATTCTGAAAGGAAAGAGACACAGATAAGAAAAAATCAGTATTTTTGTACTTTTTCCCACTCCATTCACTACATGTTTTCTCTCCTTTTCTTCAGAGTCTCTTCCTGGGTCCAGCTTCCCTCCTCTACAGCTCTGATGGATCAGGGGTGGCACCTTCTCAGAAATGGCGGGCTCTGTTCCTCTGTCATGAGGGGTGCAGGCTGCATGGCCAGGCTTTGCAAGGAGGTGTGCAGGGTCAGGAGTCTCTTAGATTCTCCAGAAAAGCAGAAATCAACCCCCCACCACACAGAAATTGAGTCTTTGGGTTAAATCTATAATGCAACTGACAAGATCCAGGGGTCACAGCAAAGAAAAGGTTAAAATGTTTATGGCACATGACCCAGCAAACTCAGAGAGCATCAGGCTCACTCACCATTATAGGCCGAAGGGCTCTCTCTCTCTGCAATGAAAGAAAGTTAGAGATGTCACCTGAACTTGCCATGTTTGAGTTGGCCCCATTCCCTTACTTTTACATCCATCTAATCTTTTTTTTTTTAAAAAAAAAAAAACCTCCTGTATCTTCTTCCTCTACAGGTTCAGTTCTCTCTATGGCGGTGTTCTTAATATCAAATCCAGGAACATCAGTCGAATGCTAGTGACATGGCAGACACTGTGAGTTTCTTCCCAATTATATTCAGCTGATCTATTGGGAATGTATGTATCCTCCTGGTGTCACCATGTCTGCGTGCATATATATACATGTATATATATGTGTGTATATATAAATATGTGTGTGTGTGTGTGTGTGTGTGTGTGTGTAAGATTCTTCTATCTCAATCTGTAATTTCCCACCTTACTCTGCAAAGAATTTGGAAAATTTAATGAGAAATTTCAGGGAATAGTTTTTGAAGGCAGTTAGAATAAATTGGTACCAACTGTTCAAGCCACTGTTGTTTATTAGACATACTTTTTTCTGTCTCTTTTTTCTAATTTTCTTGTTCTTTATTATCTTTTATTCTTTTCTTCTCTGGAGCCTATAGATTACGTAAAATGACTAGTGAAGTTCCTACCACAGAGAATGCACTTCATCCACCTCTTCCCCCTTCTTTTATAAGTGTATGCCTGTATATTCCTCAGTGCTTTGCAGGGCTGTAGAGTCTGTGGCCCCTAGTAGAGAGAAATTGAAGGCATCTTTTCTTTGAGACCAGTTGAGAGAGAGAGAATGAGAGAGCTAAAGAAACACTCCTCCTGGGTGTTACTCCATCCAATGAGTCA